CGCTTCTCACTCCGGGGCAATATCTGACAACCCTGCTGGCGCTGACCAGGTGGAAAACTTGCTCTTTGCTTGCCAGAATGTCCAATGAAGTCCTCGGATGCTCCTGGAGTAGCTGCTTGGATTGGAGGGGCTCTCCCGTTCCTAAACCTTCAGGATGCCACGCATCAGCTTGCCATTGAGCACAGTATGTCCTTGCAGTCATCCAAAAAGGGGGTACTTGCGAAGTTCCATGGGTGATTTGTGTGTTTTTGTTTAGCTGAAACCATCAGATCATTCGATGACTGTACTGTGCGTGCTGCACTCCGAGAGGACACCCGATCCCCGCAACTTCACAGGCAAATCCCCACAAACATATCCTCTATAGATATCTATAGATCATTTCCACCAACAAATTGGAGGATAATTCCAGTTCACATCCATTGTAACAAATTGAAAATCGCTAAATTTTCCAATTCACATGACACCTGTGTGCCCGGCTCGAGCGGCTTGGAGAGTTCCCCAGGTGACGTCTCTGTGGCCTGTGGAGCTCATGGCAGCCCTGGGTGCGCTGGCACGACAGCACCAGGCTTCAGAGATGGCGTTGCTGATGCTGGGACTGAAGGGATACCAAGGGGAGGGAATATGGTAGGGGATTTACCTATCATACCTATCCATTTTTGGATAGGGTTAATGTATATTTAAGCGAACCAATTTATGGATATTTCATGGATATATAGAATGGCATATTTAGATATCTGGAAGAAAACACGCCCTGACTGTGACCTACAACGGTTACTGATGGTTTGGAGGAACCATCCCGCTGCGGGGTTTTGTTTCAGATTGGGGAATGGTCCCATTATCCAGAAAACTTGAGAGTTTCGGGGACAATGGGGGACCCCAATATCATCCAATTTTGAGGTACCAGGTACCTTTTAAGATTTTTAAGAACCATCCATATGGGGACGGTGTACCGATTGTAATGGAAGCTTGTTGCGAACCACCAATCCTAACAATCAACAAATTGGGATGGTTTCATCAGGGACTTACAAGCCATTTTGCTGGGTTGTAAAGCCAAACTTTTTCTGGGATGTAATGAACATTTGATGGCTCAAACACACTGGGACCACTGCAGCCACAAATGGCTTGCAATGTTTTAGGATAAACAAATCATTTTTTGGGGTCATTCTGAGGGGTGAGTTTTTCGGCAAATCACAGGCTGTCTTTGTTTGGGCTTCTGCTGAGTCGCAACTTTGATCAGGACGGGGCATTTCACAGCAGAAATGCAGCAAATCTCATGGTCAACGAAAATGGATCGCTTTGAAAGTCACCTTGAAACTGGAACTGGTAGCAGAAACTGCCCTTCATCAGTCACCTACTCGATGAAACATGGCGAGCTGGGAAATCCTCATCAAACATGGAGGTTAGTTTTGCTGGGAAAATCACCTGGAAACATGGGAGATTTTCACCGGTTTCCTGCAGGACGACCTTCTGGTGGGCATCCCAGAAGCAGGTCGCAGTGGGGATCTTTCGGTGCTCCAAAACATCATGGGATTCTTTGTGTTCCTTGGCAAAGGGCTGCGCAGTCCTGAGCTATATCTGGCATGACCCATGTATATGATAGAATATGATTGGATATGTTGTGATGTGATATTTGGAGGTCTATGTACACATCCGACATATTAATATGTATATACACTGTAATATACACACACTCTTATTTGTCAGGAACTCCTATTTTGTGAATCTCCCATCACGAATGTACCTTTTTCTCGCCCAGGAATACCCTGCCCATCCGCCTATCCTTCCAACACAAGGCACCTGGTGTCATTTGGATCGCATGGGATATCCATTGGGACATTGGATGCCCCATGTCTCCCCCAGGCGCCAACTTTTGGCGAGCTGCTGAAGAGGACTGGCGCTGCAACCAGTTGATATTTTACATTTTACCTGGGTATGGGTCAATACCTATAGATACCATTTTTAGTGGGATGAACATCCATTTACCAGCTATTTTGATGTTCACCAGGGGTACAAGGAGTTGATATTTTACCTGGAATCACAGCACTGAGCAGAGTTGGCCGATCTGACCATTTTGCAGGACGCAGCAGACCTTGTTTGAAGCGATCGACCACTCTGCCATACCTTTCCAGCACTTGGTGAATGAAATGCGGCAGCACCAGGAACTCAGCATGGCCTACATCATGGCATACAGATATGGCAGTGGGTCAAAACCTTGTACCCCTGTAGTTCACATCAAAATAGCTGGTAAATGGATGTTCATTCCCCTAAAAATGGTATTAATAGGGATTGATCCATAGCCATATGACATTCCAGAAACTTACAATGTTGCAATGTCGCTGATAATATCAATTTAGATCAAGTCAGTTTTTAATTGTGACGCGCCTGCCAGGAGGTGGATGGCAACCAGCTGCTGCAAGCTTTCTTCCAACATGTTGTAGCTGGGCAGTCCCACAGTCCGCGCAAGGCTGCTGGCATGGTGCTGGAGCATTTTGATTTCGAGCCCCATCCAGCACCTGCAAAATTTGAGGCGTGAGGGTTAGCTTCAAACGCATCACACATATCACACATATCATCATGTTTTCAAGTTTTGATTGGTTGTTTTGGCCACGTTAGTAGGTAGATGGGTTCAGGCTTCCAGTGAATTGTAATGATTTGTATATATCTATATATATACATAGATACATATAATAATAATGATAATAATAATATTATATATGATTATATAATATATAATTATATAATATATGATGTATAAGATATGATATATGATATATAATATATGATATATAGTATATGATATATAATATATAATATGCAATATACACTATACAATATATAATATGATATGATATGATATAGTATAATATAATATATAATATAATATAATATGATATATTATAATATAATACAATATAATATAATATATATAATATAATATAATATAATATGATATGATATAATATAATATAATATAATATAATATATAATAATATAATATAATATGATATAATATAATATAATATAATATAATATAATAATATATAATAATATATAATAATATATGATAATATATGATAATATATAATAATATATAATAATATATAATTATATATAATAATATAATATAATATATAATATAATATAATATAATAAAATAAAATATAATAGTATATAATAATATATGATAATATATGATAATATATAATAATATATAATAATATATAATAATATATAATAATATATAATAATATATAATATAATATAATATAACATAATATAACATAATATAATATCTTATGTAATAACTTAATGTAGATATAGATGAAGCCAACAACAAAGCGCCAGTTGCCCCAGGTGAGCCTCCAAACCAGCTGCAGTGCAGCGGGTTGTTTTCTCCGCTGGGAATTCATGCCAGAGGTCTTGTCCGTCACCTCAGTGAGGCTTCTGAACCGCCATTTGTTGGCCATGGCTCAGCGTTTGGTGGCGGAAGGGGCACAGATTCCAGTGGCACATCTGGCAGCAGCCCCTTGGGATCAGCGGGATGCCATCCACAACTGGAGCTTGAGCCAGTCACCACCGTTACCAGAAAGTCGTGTTGAAGATCTTTTTATCCAACAGGCGAGGCGAAGTCCCAGCCAAAGTGCCGTGATGCTTGGTGAGGAGCGGCTATCCTATGGGCAGTTGCTGGAAGCATCGCGAAGCTTTGCAGAGGTCTTGATGTCTCACAGGACCGCTGATCCATTGGTTGTGGCCATCCTCTCTGATCGTTGCTTGGAGCTGCCCATGGCACTCCTCTCGGTGCTGATGGCTGGGGGCAGCTTCGTGCCGTTGTCACCGGAGTTCCCAAAGGAACGTCTGCAGTGGATGGTCACCGAAGCCAGGGCTCAGCTGGTGGCTGCTACTGAGGCATTGTCTGACTTGGGCTCCTTGGGTTTGCCGCTCCAGGTCATCCCATCCATTGGAAAAATGGACAGTTCAGGAACTCAGCGGATGCTGAAAAGTACGAAACCCAACTTGGTGGCTTATGTGATTTTCACCTCAGGATCAACTGGCAAACCCAAAGGGGTTGCATTGTCTCACAGAGCACTCTTGTCACACCTCATGCCCTACATCCGCGTTCTGAGACTTGGGTCCCAGGATCGAGTGCTTCTGACAAGTTCCTTCACCTTTGACATGGCGTATTCACAGATCTTTGGAGCACTGCTGAGTGGCGCTTGCCTTGTTTTGACCACCGAAAACCCCATGATCGATCCCTTGGAATTGCTGGAGATTTTGCAGAAAGAGACCATTTCTTTCACCACTTTGGTACCTTCAGTGCTGTCTTCCATGGTGCATCTCAAGAAGATGCCATTTTCCTTACCGGCACTAAGGCACCTGGGCTGTGGAGGGGAGGCACTCAAAACGGCCACTGCAGATTTCTTGCGCTCTTGTACTTCTGCAGTTCGAACGCCTCTGTTTTTACACAATCGCTATGGTCCCACTGAGTGCGCCATCAATGCTTTGCTTTTTGGACCCACTGGAGTCACTGGAGCCATGCCAAACCCGGAGATGGACTTTTGGCAGGAAGATGTGCCTATTGGATGGCCTTCCGGCCATCGACACATTGCCATAGATTGCACCAGAATGGATGGACACGGGGAGCTGATTCTAGCTGGTTTAGGACTGGCCCTTGGCTACGTCTCCAGGTCTCAGAAATCTTCGTGCGACGGCAGTGACGGCAGTGCTTCTTTTCAAGCGAATCTCCGTGGCGCTGGGCGGCAATATCGCACGGGCGATTTGGCATGTCGCATTTTTCGAAAGAGACCAGGCCCACAAGCGATGCCATCTGGACAGGAACACGCCAATGGCTGTGTGCGCTTTATTGGTCGACGGGATTCTCAGGTGAAGTTGCAGGGGCAACGGATCGAACTCAGCGAAATTGAGGAAACCATCTGCAAACTGCCTGAGGTGGATGCCTGTGTGGTGGTTCATGTGACTGGAAACCACTCTGGCAGCTTAGTAGCCTTTATCTCATCAGCCAGTGATGTGAGGGAAACAGTGAGATCTCAGTGTGAGAAGTTCCTTCCAAGGGCCATGATCCCTCAGATTCAGTTGTTGAAAATGACGTCCTGGCCTCGGACCAGCTCTGCCAAGATCGACCGTGCTGCACTGGTGGACATGGTGAGTCCGCTGAGTCCGAGTGGATCGGAAGATCCATCTGCAAGTGCTGTTGGGATCTTGCTGGAGGCGCATCGTCACAAATCTCACCTTGCTATACCTTGCTTAGAATATCATGCTGGCATCATCTAGAATCCAATTTAACATTGTTCATGATCAACAACTCCACATCAATCATTAAAACATATTAAAACTACCAACTTTCCCATACCTTTTGGAATCCTTTCCCCATCCTTTCCCTATTAGGTTTTGCTGCAAATCTTCGGTTCCGCCGTGTCGCCTTCCTCGCTGCTGTCCCCCTTGGGTCTCAGCTCGTTGCTGGCGCTGCGCATCAGCGCGCTCTGTGCCCAGCGCGGCCTGCGGATCTCCGTGCGCGCCCTGCTGGCGCCGGAGGCCACGGCGGAAACCGTGGTGAGACAGCAAGGCGCTGGGGGGTTCCTTGTGGAGGGGTGGTAATCGATGGTAATTACCACCTAATTCCACTGGTTAAGATATGGTGAAATCATCATTTTCTTCAGAATGTGGCAGTAAAATGGGGAGTATACTTTGAGGATACCCTATTTTCAGACACCCATTACTTTTTTGATCCTATTAAATGGACCCAAGTTATCGTGCAAGTCACGAAAGGTAGCTCCAGAGGGGCTACCTTGAGTTTTACTTTACGAAGTAAAGGGGAGGGCGGCCAGCCCCGTTACCTGATTCTTCAGGAGATTGCTAGTCATTTTAGTAACCCCCCCCCCTCCACACCTCCCACGCACCCTAAGAGCAGACTCAAAACATTGTAATTTACAGTATTTTTGTTCTTTTTGGATCAAGAAACCACATTTTGCTACATGGTGAAACCTCCGTAAATACCAGTGTTTTTGCTAGGTGCTGGCCAAAAAACACTGTAAATACCGTGCTTTTTACTACCAGAGGCAAAAAACATCGTAAATACTGTGGTTTTGGGCTTCTGACCCGCCAAAAACATCGGTATTTACGGTGTTTTTTGCTCCGAGAGTTGCAAAAACACGCGAAAACACCACCGATTTGACGATTTTCGGCCACTACGGAACCGAGCAAAAACGCTGCAGGGGTAACACCAACACCAGCAACAACAACACCAACGGCAACAGCAACAACAACAACAACGACGACAACCAACAACAACAACAACAACACCAACACACAACGCACAATGCACAACGCACAACGCACAATGCACAACGCACAACGCACAACGCACAACGCACAACACACAACACACAAAACACACAACACACACACAACACACACAACAACACACAACAACACACAACAACACACACACACACAACCACACACAACAACACACACACACAACAACAACACACCACAACACACCACAACACACAACAACACACAACAACACACGCAACACACAACAACACAACAACACAACAACACAACAACACACAACAACACACAACAACACACGCAACACACAACAACACAACAACACAACAACACAACAACAACAACAACAACAACAACAACAACAACAACAACAACAACAACAACAACAACAACAGCACGTCCCAAACGCCAATCAACAACACCCGAACCAACACGACAAGAAACACACTACTAAAATCACAACAACACACCACAACACACCACAACACACACAACAACACACAACAACACACAACAACACACAACAACACACAACAACACACCACAACACACATCAACACACCACAACACACCACAACACACCACAACACACAACAACACACAACAACACACAACAACACACAACAACACACAACAACACACAACAACACACAACAACACACAACAACACACAACAACCCACAACAACACACAACAACACACAACAACACACAACAACACACAACAACACACAACAACACACACAACAACACAAACAACACACCACAACACACCACAACACACCACAACACACAACAACACACAACAACACACAACAACACACAACAACACACAACAACACACAACAACACACAACACCACACAACAACACACAACAACACACAACAACACACAACAACACACAACAACACACAACAACACACAACAACACACAACCACACACAACAACACACAACAACACACAACAACACACAACAACACACAACAACACACAACAACACACAACAACACACAACAACACAACAACAACAACAACAACAACACGAACACAAACAATACCAACACCAACAACACGACCAACAACACCAACACCACCAACAAACCCAACCACACCAACAACACTAACAACACTAACAACACCAGAAACACTACCACCACCAACAACACCAACACCACCAGCACCACCAACACCACCAACACCACAACCACCACCAACCCCAACCACATCGCCGAAGCCTTTCAGTCGCTTTTAGCAGACTCCCCTTCATATTTTTAGAAAGAAAATGGCCGCGTCGCTTTTACCAGACTCCACTTTATGTATTTTTCCCTCCCCTCTCCCCTTCATTTTTTCTTCGGTTCCTTTCTTGCTTACCTACCTTTCGTGTTCCCCCTCTCAAGTTTATTGATCAATTTTATTTTTGACCAGATGGTGTGGGGTACCCGTTATTTGAGAACCACATGATATGAGAAAGTCTCACTTTCAGAATTGCCATCACTTTGCCTTTCGAATCTGATGACATTCTTTTGGCACTGATCGCATGTCCAGCAGGTCAGCTGGATGGTCTCCAAGAAGCATTGGATGTTTTGCTGGGCAGCCCCCACTTGGTACTCCGAGACATCGGCGGCGCTGGTGGCAATGCCTGCGCCTGGGAGGTGTTGATTTGCCCCGGTGATGGAGGGGTTGGTATCGAAGGTTATCGGCCCTTGGCTTCCAGACTGAGCAAGGCCAGGGGTTCAGGGCTTTAGGGTCCAGGTTTTAGCCAAAAGTTGGGTCACCAAACGCATGGATCGTTGATTTATGGTTGCTGTCATACTACGTAGCGCTTGTTGAAATCCTGGTGTGTTTCTCTGTTTATTCTGTTTGTTCGTAGAGAGCTTACTTGCATGGCAAGCCCCGCTGAACTGGTGGAACGGCAGGTTTGTCATGTCCTGGTTGCTGATGGCCTCTTGAGTATTGAAACTCAGAGCCTGAAAGCCATGGCAGAAGAGATCCTGAAGCACTGGCCACGAAGAAAGCACCTTGTCGAAGACATTGCATTTCTGATGCGAAGCGATACAGGTTTGCGTATCATTTTGAACCATTTTGCACTTCTTCCAGAGATGCAAAAACTATCTTGACCCTTGTAGATCAAGGTGGATGTCAAGGTAGATTCGGGATGATTCAGGTATACTAGCTAGTAATAGCGCTAGTATAGATACTGGACACATGTGGAAACAAATGTCACCAGATGTCACCAGTCACGGTTTTTTGTGCGTCAAAAGTGATCAAAAAAAAATGCCCAGGCCTCGAGTGCTCTTGGGACATTCCTGGGGTGCCGCCCTCGCTCTACAACTTGCATCCTTGGAACCAGCTGAGGCCAGACACGGGACATGGGATATGATATGTCTGATTGATGTCTGTTTGATACCAAGTTAAGTGCAACTTGACTTTGAGGCACCAAAGTTCCAATTTTGGGTTTGTCAGATATCTAACATGAGAACATGATGCAAAAATAATGAACACGATCAAGATGTTTCAAACATGGTGCATTCTTCCCCCTGAGGCAGTGTGGCTGCTGGATCCTTCGAAGCACCACTTTGTCGGCCAACCAGAGGCGCAAAGCAAAGAGGTGGGGCGGGAAACTGCCAAATAAGCAGATAACATGAAAGATAGATGTATGATGTACAGATAGACGTGTCATACATTTGTAATGATATCATATTTAGTATACAGTATACAATAGTGCTTGTATATAATATGATATGTATACATGTTCAAGATCTGGAGACATTTGTTAGCATTGTCTATTTGATGCTACCTGTACCAACCACGAATTGCTGGCACAGGCATCCACTGCAGAGCTCTTGGAACTACTGGCACGGCTTTGTCGAGATGGCAAGGGTCAACAGCTGAAGGTGGCCACCAAACTGCTTTGGTTCAATGATGAATGATGATGATGATGATGATGATGATGATGATGATGATGATGATGATGATGGAGATGGACGTATCACGATGTATCCAGCTGGTTGTTGATGATCTATCAAGATGAATGATTACAATGATGATAATGATATATAATGATGGGGTTATTTTCAACACCAGTGCACATGTTCTCCGATTTGTCTCTATGGAAGTCACAGGATTTAGTTCCTGCAGTTCGACAAGGGGATGGCGCTGTGGAAAAGGCCAGGAAACGGGACAACGATGCGAAAGATTGCTGGAACAGAATCGAGGAATCATAGCACGCCCCAGCCACAGTATATAAATAGAGAAAATTGGACCAAAATAACAAGCACATCATCTGGCGAATTCTAGCGATACCCTGTAGGTATCACATATCATGGTAAGAACATGTGACAACAAGCTACATTGCCGGGAACAACCATTAAATATATCAATTTTGCGGTGAATCACCATCTTCCCAAACGAATCCCAGTTTGCCAACTGCACAGATCATGGGAGCGAGATCCTTCCAGCGCTTCCTGCGAGCAGCTGAAGCAAGGTGCGGTTAATGGAATACGGATCACTCATAGTTTTGAGATTAGTTTTGTGATACAATAAAGTGACAATACATACATACATACATACATACATACATACATACATACATACATACATACATACATACATACATACATACATACATACATACATACACTGTGCACATACATGCATAGATACATACATACATACATACATGCATGCATACATACATACAGACAGACAGACAGAGAGACAGAGAGACAGACAGACAGACAGACAGCCAGGCAGACAGACAGACCGACCGACAGACAGACAGAGACAGCAGACAGACAGACAGACAGACAGACAGACAGACAGACAGACAGACAGACAGACAGACAGACAGACAGACAGACAGACAGACAGACAGACAACAAAGAAATAAAGAAAGGAAAGACAGACAGGAGGACATGACAGACAGGACGTAAATGACAGACAGACAGACAGACAGGACATACAGACAGACATGACATGACATGACATGACATACATTACATACATGACAGACATACATACATGACATACATTACATACATGACAGACAGTAGATACAGTACATACATGACATACAGGACATACATGACATACATACAGACATACAGACATACATACATACAGACAACAGACAGACATACAGACATACAGACATACAGACAGACATACAGACATACAGACATACAGACATACATACATAAAGACAGACAGACAGACATACATACAGACAGACATAAATACATACAGACATACATACATACAGACATACAGACATACAGACATACAGACAGACATACAGACATACAGACATACATACATACAGACATACAGGCAGACATACAGACATACAGACATACAGACATAAAGGCAGACAGACAGACATACATACATACAGACAGACATACATACATACAGACATACATACATACAGACATACAGACATACAGACATACAGACAGACATACAGACATACATACATACAGACATACAGACAGACATACAGACATACAGACATACAGACATAAAGACAGGCAGACAGACATACATACAGACAGACATACAGACATACAGACATACAGACAGACATACAGACATACAGACAGACATACATAAAGACAGACAGACAGACATACATAAAGACAGACAGACAGACATACAGACAGACATACATACATACAGACATACATACATACAGACATACAGACATACATACAGACATACAGACATACAGACATACATACATAAAGACAGACAGACATACAGACATAAAGACAGACATACAGACATACAGACAGACATACATACATACAGACAGACATACATAAAGACAGACAGACATACAGACATACAGACATACAGACATACAGACATACATACATACAGACATACAGACATACAGACATACAGACATACAGACATACAGACATACATACATACATACAGACATACAGACATACAGACAGACATACATACATACAGACATACAGACATACAGACATACAGACAGACATACAGACATACAGGCAGACATACAGACATACAGACATACAGACATACATACATACAGACATACAGACAGACATACAGACATACAGACATACAGACATACATACATAAAGACAGACAGACAGACATACATACAGACAGACATAAATACATACAGACATACATACATACAGACATACAGACATACAGACATACAGACAGACATACAGACATACAGACATACATACATACAGACATACAGGCAGACATACAGACATACAGACATACAGACATAAAGGCAGACAGACAGACATACATACATACAGACAGACATACATACATACAGACATACATACATACAGACATACAGACATACAGACATACAGACAGACATACAGACATACATACATACAGACATACAGACAGACATATGTATATATATATATATATACACGTACGTATACAATGATTTGTTTTCTTTGTAAGAATGAGAGCGTGTCGGTGCGTGCGCGTGTTTAGCACTGCAGCTGGCCAAGTGCGAGCTTACTGTCAGTAAACTCGCTGCAAGCGGTCGGCTCCACAAATCCACAGATCTCTGAGCTCAGAGCCTTGATGAGCCTTAAGGCCTTGTAAGGCCTTGTAAGGTCTTGTAAGGCCTTGTAAGGCCTTGAGGTTTCATGAGCCTTTCATGCTTGACTTTTGATGCGGCACTATGGCACTATGGGTGCTTGAATCACTCAAAAGGGCCTGTAGGGTCTTTTGAGAGCATCCTCTTCATGAAAGTAGGTCGATATTGGCTGATATAGAGACTGGGATGATTTCGTCAGAGTGGCAGAAGATCAATGGCCTCCAGTGCTTTGAGGTTGTGGGAACCTTCTTCCATTCCTTGCGGCCACACATTGTGAGCCTTGGCATGCCTTAGTTGCTGCCTCCTTGTGTCGGCTGTGTCCTTGAGATTGCTGGACTGCAAGGGCGAGAAGAATACTTGTGTGGAGTTGTGTGGAGGAGCTGTCCCTTGAAAGATATCTATCTGTGTGCCTGCAAAACATTTTCCAATTGGTGGTCGCTGGCTTCTCATGTGGAAGATTTCGTGCAACGCAACTAATTCAATTCCTTTCAACTCTTGGTCAATTTGTATCAATTTGGATTCTTAGTAGACTGGGAGAGGCTGAGAGAGGCTGAGAGAGGCTGAGTTTGCTCAGTCTCCAAACCATCGAAATGCCGAGCTGAGGTCGAAGCTGTCTGGCAAGGACCCTGGACCATGCCTTCGACACATCACCAAGCTGTCCCATGTGCCGCGCAGAGCTCTCTGGTTATTTGGCATCCCGGCAGATTTGTTCGGCAGTTTTGACCCGGTGCCAGATATGAATGAGACATGGAGAACCATGGATCCAGATGGATCCAGATGGAATCATATGGAATCATATGGAATCATATGGATATATGTGGATACAGGTGGGATACATGTGGGCACCTGGTATGATAGATAGCATTTCATGGCACAACATGCATATCTTGTGGCGCATGATGGCCATTTTGCATTGTATGAGACCTCATGTCTTATCCATGTTAATTCCATGCTGATGCGTTTTGATTCAACATGGAGTGAGGCATGGCTTAATGCTCGGGCCTGGACGCAGGGAGCGGGAGCCGGAGCTAAGCTAACGCATGGCGGTGCGCAGATTCCAGCCTCTTGGATCCTCTTAGATCCACTTGGATCCAGTTGGCATGTGAAATTTGGTGAAGTTTGGATTTGCAAGTCAATTGAAGTCAATTGAAGTCAAGAAAACAATGATGACGCGATCGCTATGACGGTTGATCCATTGTGTTCTGAAATGCTGGTTGCGGCATGAATTTTGGAAGGATTCGGCAATAGTGAGTCAGTGGTCAGGTGAAGCTATATATATATGTGGCAGGGACCTTTGGGGTCTATTTCGTTCCTCCTCGCACAAACGTAATCAAACGTCATTCTATATGCATATATACTATATACACAAGTAAATATGTCTACATGTGTGTACAAGTTCAACAGAAAGTCGCCATTTTTTTCCCTTGCCCCTCAACCTGCGCAGCGTCCGTTTTCTGCTCCAAGAGATGCTGTCACCAGCACGCGCGAACGCACGCCAATTTGAACTCTGGGCAGAAGAGTCCTCCAGTGTCAATTGTGTTGCTTTCCATCCCTGCAAGCTACAAAGTTTTAGAACATGCAAGTTTGGGACTCTTGTGCGCTCATGCATGGGAATGTTTTGGTTGTCAGGAGTTTGTAGTTGCAGTTGCAATCTTAGTATTAAGCATAGT